GATATATAGAGGGACAGCGACACACTATTTGCATCGCATACAGTTTGTGAGGATTACACGATCCACCGAGAGGCACAGCAAAGTGCTGCCTCATCGCGCATCTCCTCCATGTATTTGAACGGGACATATGGAAATTCTGCTATTCTTTATTGAAAAAAATCCTTCAACATCGGATTCGAACGGCAAAAGGGCCTACAACACACACCAGCCGACAAATATTAACATTTATTATATTTTATGGTTAACTTTCTTTTCTTTTCAAGATTGACAGGGGAGGCTCTGCCTCATCTGCCTCACCTGCCTCCCCTGACCGCACGTCACTGGTTAGTTTCATTTCTGAAATAAAGCACTGGTTTCGGCATTTTATTGTGAAGGTCCCGACAGGAAACGGTCGTCAATCGGTTGTTTTAAAGATGGCGGCGGTTCTAGACGCTATGTACAGCTCGCTGTTATTTTCGTCTTTGTGAGGTTTTGCCGCCGTTAATCCCGGGCACAAAGTTCCGGTGATTGACGTCAGGAGCAGCGAGTCACCGTGCATTGTTACCGGATGCCTCGCGTGAACCGAACGTTCGTTTTGTCGCTGCTAATTGTCAGCGGTTCTCTGTTCCTGCTGTTCCAGCTGTATTACTACCGGAAGTACGTCAGCAAGGTAAGGGAATAAAATCCGAAACAATAGGCACATTCGAGATGACGCAGATCTGCACAGATTCGATCAGCAGCGATCGGCGCAGATCCGGTTCTTTTTCTGTCCGACTTGAATCCGATACGTGGGCAGCGATATTCTCACGGGATCCGGGCGACTGCACGTTGTGGCGTCATGTGCTGCAGTTCCTTCATGACAGGAAAGCCCTGGTCTCACCTGATCTGAGCGCTGATTGGTTGAGATGCTGGATCAACAACATGACGTTTTATAGAAACCTATCATCCTTTGTATAACTGGACTGCTCTGGTCCGCTGACCAATGAGGCGCAGTTAGTCTGGAATGAGCCTAATGTAAACAAAAAGGCAGAACAACGTCCAAATTTAATTTAACAGAAGTATTTTTGTAAGTGTTTATATGTGAATTTACAGAAATGTGCTGTAATGTTCCCAATGTAGGAAAGATGCCTTTTTCATGTGGAACTGAATAATACAAATTTTAAAAACCACTATAAACAACAAAATAGTGTAAACAACTGTAAAAGGAAAATGCCGTTGTCTTTAGTTACTCTAACAACTGGCTGTTATTTAAATGGCTCTTTAACACATTTTACTTTAAAAATGAAATCATCACATGTTAATTCTGCCTTTTTTTAACTTCCCAAATGCCTTTCTTCTGCAGCCTGGCCCTCAAATCTTGAGCCGAACAGGTCACCTGACTGCCAGTGACGTCCAATGGGTGAGTCAGTGCTAATGTTAGCAGCAGAACTACTGTTAGCCACACTCAGACTGCATATAAAGATGGACAACATGTTACTACTTCCCACAACTATGCAAAAGTGAAGCCAAAATATCACGAATAGAGCAGCTGCCATTTTTGCATTTTGCGACCAGATTCTGTGCAGTTGTGTTCAAGTAGTGTCAGCATTGGACTACCAACTGTCGAACTACAGAGGCCTTTTGTGATATTAACCATGATGGACAAAACTAGCCTGCATTTACAGCCTCATCATTTTTAAACTTGCACACTTTGAAGCTATTTTATTATTCTCTTCTTTTCTAACTGACACAGCTATGATCATTAGATCAGGTGACCCTAGGAGAAAAGCAGTATGCGGAAGAGCTAAGCACTATAATTCAAATTACAAGTCGGAAGGTGTGGTGGTGACGCTGAAGGCATGGGACCGTGGTGCAGTTTGTTTATAGCCTAACAATAACTTTGTACTTCTGGCAACTGTATTTGGGCTTCAAAAATGATAAAAGCTGTGGTCAGTTGTGAAGATTATCTTTCTGTATAAAACGTGTAAATGTCATAAACCATGTTTGTCGCAGAACTTATTTTCTGCAATAATCCAGATGCCTGGATCAATCCTATTGTCTTTTTGTCGTGGGAACAAGGTTGGTCTACTAGAAGGCATCATCCCTATGGCACTCTATAAACAGTTTTGTTATAACTGTCAGTTCTTATCATAAAACAAATTACATGTAAAGTATAATTTAAAAAAAAAAAGTTTCACACCCCCCTCTCTGGTCTTTTTCTGGCCCGCACATCTCTATCCAGGGCACTGGAGTTGCTGCTTTAAGGTTCACTTGTGCACGGCTGGTCTCTGGAGAAGGCTACCTGCAATTTTCAAAGAAAGGGTCACACTCATCTGTTATAATGTGAATAATTTGAATAATTAAAATCCCAAATACAATTTAAAATCCTTCTCCTAACATACAAAGCCCTTAATGACAAGGCTCCATCGTATCTTAAAGACCTCATAGAGCCTTATCATCCTAACAGAGCACTTCGCTCTCAGAGTGCAGGTTTACTTGTGGTTCCTAGAGTCCACAGAAGCAGAATGGGAGGCAGAGCCTTTAGCTATCAAGCTCTTCTCCTATGGAACCAACTCCCAGTCTCAGTTCGGGAGGCGGACACCCTCTCTACCTTTAAGATTAGACTTAAGACGTTCCTTTTTGATAAAGCTTATAGTTAGGGCTGGATCAGGTGACCATGAGCCTTCCCTTAGTTATGCTGCTATAGGCCTAGGCTGCTGGGGGGCCCCATGATGCTCTGAGTTTCTTTCCCCTCCCCTCCTGCTCTGCTCTCCTCTCCTCTCCTCTCTCTCCTTATGCTTCTATATGCCAGCACACCAGCCTCTCTCTGGGAAAAAGTTTATTTGATTTGTACGCTTGAGTTTTTAGTATGGCTCATGTCCCATCTGCTAAAATGGAGGAGGCAGGGCTTATAACCTGTACTGCAACCAGCCACCAGAGGGCAGTCAACTTGTGGTGGCTTCACTTCTGGGAGCTGTTACATCATCCATCTTTATATGCAGTCTATAATCACACTGTTAGCCAATATTATCAGTTAGCCTCCATGATATTTTATGTGCGACTCCCACTGCCCTGCTCCGTTGTGGTAGCTGTTACCATGGCAACCATCCTGTTCTTTGTTTCCGCAGCAAACAGTGAAGACATTCTTAGCATTAGCACAGCACTTCAGGCTGCCAGTGTTTCTTGTTGACACAGCCGCACTCATGCTGCTCTCTCAGGATGCTTTGCGACAGCGCGACTGGCAGGGGGGGGGGCTGCACTGTAGATTTCTGTGCACCAGCCGGCCTGTCACATCATTTGCTCTGCACGCCAACCTGTGGAAGTATGAGGTCAGTGTACTGTAATGTTTTAACAGTCCAGAGCAGCAGGATGAATTAGCAACTGTTCAGTGTTTTAAAATGCTATTTAGAATCTTTAAAACTTTATTTGTATATCTTTTATCATCTCTTCATTCACTTTATTTTTGTCTAACATTTTCTATGTCTATGTAAATTGTGTAAAATTATGAAACTATAGTTTAGTTTTCAGTAAAATGTTTTATTTTTTGCTCTCAGCCTGGCTTTCTATTGGCTGCGGAGGAGAAAGGCTTCGAGCTTCTGGAGCTAAAAGGAGAGGACCCACGATTGGCCAGTCTGGACACCCTATCAGGAGAGGAGATCCCATTGCACTTCCTGTTTCGCCTCCATGGTTATATCATCCAGGTGAGTGGGGCCACATTGCCTGATGACACTTAGCGACCACCTGGTAACCACTGAGAAACCACAACTGCTGCGGGGACACATACAGTCTGACAGCTGCTGAGCTGATTGTGAGTGGGATTTGGACATGACGACTGAGTGGACCCAGTTGGACCAGGTCGGTGTTGACCGCTGCCAGATAAATTGTTCTCAAAAAGATTTTTTTAAACATGTATGATATAAGAAATTGACATTGGCAACTGGTACGTTTCCCCTGAGGCAGATGCGCGGTAAACAAAGAAAACTCATTACTTTTAGTTTTAATATATTTGAGGCGAATTATCGATTATTTTTGTTTGGAACTTACTGCAACATGTTAACACAGCTGCAGTGGGTGACATGTTGCTTGTTTACAGTTCGCTAGCTCCTCATGCCTTGAGATCTTGCACATGTGCAGTTACATCTTGCTTTACTTCAGACCACAGACATATTCTTCAGACGCTGTAAAAAGTTATGGTTGTTTGAAGCTCTGGGGGCAACACACACACCAGTCTGGTGTTTGGTAATGAAGAAACATGTTCCTCAGTGCAGACGTGTGTTTAATTGTCTCTGGACAACTGAGGTCTAGGACGCAGACAAATCAGCTGATCCAGGTTGGAGAAGGACATTAATGGTGAGTGGAGGCACTCACTGTTGGCTTTAGTCTCTGCGTGGGGACAGTGAAAGGACTCTGTCCTTTAAGGCTGTATGAAGGCCACGATATGCTAACCCCTGGACACAGGAATAAAGCTTAACCTCTCACACTAAGGTGGTATATTTGAAACATATTAAAGCTCCAAACAGTATTTGAGGTCTTATGATGGAAATATTCACCCAGTAATTGACTACCATGAACCTACGAACAGAGTTCCCTGCAGACCTCCCTCTTTCATGTTATTAATTCAGGATAAGACCACATACCTCCCAAATAACAACAACCTGCAGTTTATTGTGGCAGCTACCTCCTTAAACCCTCAGATGTCACTGTACTGAGAAATTTTTATAAGCCAGTACACTCTGGCTCTTTGAGGAAGTGTTAAATTTAGTCTGAAATAACCAATAAAAGTCATGACAGTGGCCATTTAAGACCATATTTGCTTTGCATAGTATTTAGTTGACATAAGATGTTATTAAGAATAGGATATTTAAATGGCAGTTTGTATTTTGTAATAAGTAAACAGCTGGGTATTTTGTATAAAATATTTTCTGATATAACTTTATAAACATCACCTCCCTTCTCAACAGCCAGCTGGTTGGTATGGAATTCACCCAAGCAACAAGCCCAATCAGAAAAGTGCGGCTTGTGTTGTCGCCGCTAGGTTTTTGACTAGTTCGTTTTAGATTGTTTTTAAATGACTGAAAATTATGTCAATATTTCAGTGTCAATTTCAATCATCACTGATTCCCTTTTCAGGAAGCTGCATTTAAACTAGTTTTATTATAGTCTTAAACAGTATTTAACATTACCACTTAAAAGTGTAAACCCACTAAAATCATAAGAATTAATAACATCAAACTTGACTCAATAAAACAGAGTTTTAAACCTTTTCAGGAATTTTATATAGAAGCTTAAGAGTTACGGCAAAGCAGCAAGCAATAAGATATAAACCTTAAAATTATCAATAAATGTCTTGATTGGCTTGCAACCTAAATAAATCAACAACTGTTATCTATAAACATCACTTTAAAATATTATACTGATTAAAATTATTCTGGTTGAGCTAAACTCTTGGTCTGAATAAAAGTCAAAGGTGTTCTCACTGAATCCTGTTCTCAGCTGGCTTTAGGTGGGGTGGTAGCAGGATGATCAATCATTTGTTCCTCTTTTTCCTTTTGGCAAGGATTCAAGCTTTTAAAAGGAAAAAAATAATAAATAAACAGAAAAATCAGAACTCATCAGAACAGCCGCAGCCTACTCACTCTTTCGGCTGTCTTCCTTCAGTCACTCGGTCTTCTGGAAGTCAGAAAATCAACCGGACAGAGCCTCCAGCTGCAACTGTGAAGGAATACTCTCATTCCTCTTTTTGCCAGGGTTTTTAAAGGATTCTGGTCAGTAGACTTGGTCCTTCCATCCAACCAGATGCCACAGTATGCACTTAATACCTATTTTGGCACGCACAACGTTGTTCTTCAGAACTCGTTTGCATTTTGCGTACTTGTCAGTGTTCAACTGCTCATGACTGCTTTTGACCAGTTGTGAAGGGAAACGTCTCTTCTCTTAGGAAAGTAAATCATCCTAACCCAATAAAAATTCAGGAAACTCACATCTGATTGAACTGCAATAGCATTTTAATAATTTTCCTCTCCTCCCCAGCTCCTCTTGCTGTTTCTTGTAAATATTCTTGCTGTTCTTGTGTGAATTCTAACTGAAAAGAGACAATTTATTCAATAGTCTCCCCCCCCATTGACTTTCGCAGAAACTTCTTTTCCTTTTTTCCTGAACCAGAGAACCTTAGCGTTACTTATGTGCACTGTGTAGGTACGTCCCCTGTATTTACATGTCTTGACCAGTACTGGGTAGTACCTGGTTCCAGGATATGTGTTTCCGGACATCCAGATCCATCCAACCTTGTAAGTGGATCTTCTTGACTTTTTTTGGCCAATGATTCCAAGATCTTGTGCTCGATCTTGACTGAGACGGATGTTTTGTCTCCCTTGTCTCTCACGACTCCCAGGATTTTGTACATTTTCTCGCATGGAATACAGTTAATTAGACCTGGAATGTGTTGTCCTGAGTTCATGTTAGGTATTTCAGTAAATTTTATTTGAGCTAAAATTGTTTAATAATCTTGGAAATATATTAATGTAATGTGAGGTTCAGTTAGGGTTGCACAGAAACAGCTGTAGAAATGCCCTTACTTTTTACCTTTATACTTTGAGTATATTTCAGAGCCTGTACTTTTTTACTTTTACTCAAGTAAAAAGTTAGAATCAGTACTTTTACCAGAGTATTTCTTTTACACAGGTATCTGATTAACGAATGTGTGTACTTTTCTGCTGGCAAGTAAAAAGGGCCGTAGTGTGAAAATGCACTGGACGACAGCTATACAGGAGAGTGAGCGCCTCCACAGCATCAAATCAAAGACACAACAGGACTGATAGTACACTCTACACCACACGTTGTCCAATCCTCTGCATCCAGGATCTCAAACTCTGAGCCTTTTTCCTCTTTTTGTCCTTTTCAGCACACCCTGCTCTGCATATAAACATGCAAACTGCCACTCGGGAGTGTTTGTTTTGTCTACAAGGATGTGAGAATTGCCGTGATCTCGCGGGATTTGCAGGTTCATCTACTGCCAGATGTTCCAGCTGTTACCAGACAGTGGTTCAATGTTGTATGGAATTCACCCAAGCAACAAGCCCAATCAGAAAAGTGCGGCTTGTGTTGTCGCCGTTAGGTTTCAGCAGCCAGGCAGCTTGTTAACACCGCTAGGTTGCTACTGCCTGTTTTAACTTTCTGAGACACTGTTGAGAAAGTTGGCATACTATTAATACTGTTGATTGTTGAACAATATGATTAAACTCATTATCAAGTTGTGTTCTAAAATAGGGCGATTGAATTATAATGTGTGTAATTTAATGAGTAAACAATTGACTAGTTCGTTTTAGATTGTTTTTAAATGACTGAAAATTATGTCAATATTTCAGTGTCAATTTCAATCATCACTGATTCCCTTTTCAGGAAGCTGCATTTAAACTAGTTTTATTATAGTCTTAAACAGTATTTAACATTACCACTTAAAAGTGTAAACCCACTAAAATCATAAGAATTAATAACATCAAACTTGACTCAATAAAACAGAGTTTTAAACCTTTTCAGGAATTTTATATAGAAGCTTAAGAGTTACGGCAAAGCAGCAAGCAATAAGATATAAACCTTAAAATTATCAATAAATGTCTTGATTGGCTTGCAACCTAAATAAATCAACAACTGTTATCTATAAACATCACTTTAAAATATTATACTGATTAAAATTATTCTGGTTGAGCTAAACTCTTGGTCTGAATAAAAGTCAAAGGTGTTCTCACTGAATCCTGTTCTCAGCTGGCTTTAGGTGGGGTGGTAGCAGGATGATCAATCATTTGTTCCTCTTTTTCCTTTTGGCAAGGATTCAAGCTTTTAAAAGGAAAAAAATAATAAATAAACAGAAAAATCAGAACTCATCAGAACAGCCGCAGCCTACTCACTCTTTCGGCTGTCTTCCTTCAGTCACTCGGTCTTCTGGAAGTCAGAAAATCAACCGGACAGAGCCTCCAGCTGCAACTGTGAAGGAATACTCTCATTCCTCTTTTTGCCAGGGTTTTTAAAGGATTCTGGTCAGTAGACTTGGTCCTTCCATCCAACCAGATGCCACAGTTTGCACTTAATACCTATTTTGGCACGCACAACGTTGTTCTTCAGAACTCGTTTGCATTTTGCGTACTTGTCAGTGTTCAACTGCTCATGACTGCTTTTGACCAGTTGTGAAGGGAAACGTCTCTTCTCTTAGGAAAGTAAATCATCCTAACCCAATAAAAATTCAGGAAACTCACATCTGATTGAACTGCAATAGCATTTTAATAATTTTCCTCTCCTCCCCAGCTCCTCTTGCTGTTTCTTGTAAATATTCTTGCTGTTCTTGTGTGAATTCTAACTGAAAAGAGACAATTTATTCAATAGTCTCCCCCCCCATTGACTTTCGCAGAAACTTCTTTTCCTTTTTTCCTGAACCAGAGAACCTTAGCGTTACTTATGTGCACTGTGTAGGTACGTCCCCTGTATTTACATGTCTTGACCAGTACTGGGTAGTACCTGGTTCCAGGATATGTGTTTCCGGACATCCAGATCCATCCAACCTTGTAAGTGGATCTTCTTGACTTTTTTTGGCCAATGATTCCAAGATCTTGTGCTCGATCTTGACTGAGACGGATGTTTTGTCTCCCTTGTCTCTCACGACTCCCAGGATTTTGTACATTTTCTCGCATGGAATACAGTTAATTAGACCTGGAATGTGTTGTCCTGAGTTCATGTTAGGTATTTCAGTAAATTTTATTTGAGCTAAAATTGTTTAATAATCTTGGAAATATATTAATGTAATGTGAGGTTCAGTTAGGGTTGCACAGAAACAGCTGTAGAAATGCCCTTACTTTTTACCTTTATACTTTGAGTATATTTCAGAGCCTGTACTTTTTTACTTTTACTCAAGTAAAAAGTTAGAATCAGTACTTTTACCAGAGTATTTCTTTTACACAGGTATCTGATTAACGAATGTGTGTACTTTTCTGCTGGCAAGTAAAAAGGGCCGTAGTGTGAAAATGCACTGGACGACAGCTATACAGGAGAGTGAGCGCCTCCACAGCATCAAATCAAAGACACAACAGGACTGATAGTACACTCTACACCACACGTTGTCCAATCCTCTGCATCCAGGATCTCAAACTCTGAGCCTTTTTCCTCTTTTTGTCCTTTTCAGCACACCCTGCTCTGCATATAAACATGCAAACTGCCACTCGGGAGTGTTTGTTTTGTCTACAAGGATGTGAGAATTGCCGTGATCTCGCGGGATTTGCAGGTTCATCTACTGCCAGATGTTCCAGCTGTTACCAGACAGTGGTTCAATGTTGTCCACAGTGTTTACTCAGTTGTAAAGTGTGTGCTGCTTCCTGGCCTTCAAGAACAAAAAATCTGTGCAAGTTGGAGGAAACAGTCTTTAAGTGTGGCTGTGTCCGCAACTTTAGAAACATGGCAGATAAGTCAGGAGTCATCTTCAGCATCATCAAGTCATATTTGTTTCAGGTTTTTGCTTTGGGTGTTTCAGGTCAACTGTTTCACTTGATTTTGTTAAGGTTGGGTGTGTTTTGTCCCAGGTGGTGTTCCTGTACGAGCGTAGTGGGAACTACCTGTGGCATGGAGCGTTACGCCTCAAATCAAACATGGACCGAAGCTTCGCTCCGTTCAAACTGCTCGACTACGGACATCACGCTGGAGCTTATGACAGGTAAAACTCTTGTGATTATACACGTTATGTGTGTGTGTGTAAAATTTAACACCGCATTGCTGAGTGAGCTTTCTGTATCATCCATCTAAATTTAATAAAACGACTAATCGAATAATTAGGACTAGAGATGATTGATTCTCTGATTCTCAGCATCAGCACCGATCGGGGCATATTTCACAGTGATCGGTGCTGATGCCAATGCTTAGTATCGAATCGGGACTTCTCTAGTAAACACAAGTATCACATCAGAATCGGTATCTGCACATACTTATTGTTAAAGGAATTGGATCGGGACCCCAATATTACATTACAAATTATAATTGCATTGTTTATAGAGCACTTTTCAAAACAAAATGACAAAATGTTTTACTGTAAAAACAAAAATGAAAACTTATGAAATATAAAACGAGATCAAATTATTTAAATATTTTGTAGAAATTCCACTAGTTAAGAAACCGATCATAGAAGTGACTAAGAGGTACCCAGTGAAGACCAGTGCCATGTGGTTGCTGCTCAGAGATCGTTGTGGCCTGTGTTGAGGTGGTCGTCCATGGCGTCAGACAGTCCTGCTCTATAAATGTGTCTTAATAATCTTCCGGTGTATTTGCTCTGAAGACCGGACCTGGTCCTGACCGTCCTGGATGGCCTCGATGTTCGAGTCCCACGCAACATTTCCCGCTTCCTGTCTGAACAGCGACATGCCCGCTTCCTGGAGTGCCGTTACCATGATGCCCGCAACTTCCTGCAGGTCAGACTGAGCACTGAGCTTTTACTGCAATAGAACAAACAGGAAACTGTGGGAAAAATACATTTTGAAAATGAGAAGAAAAATCCTCAAACTAAGAAACAAAATGATGTAGAGAAATGTCTGAAAAAGTGAACATTAATAAAGAATTAAAATACTAATTTAAAGGTAAAATATAGAAAATCAAACCTTAAAAATTACAGTGTTTTATATAAGTAAGGAAGAAGGGGCAGGACAGCCTGTCGCCTCACAGCAAGAAGGTAAACCCTGCGTGTAAATGTATAGTAATATAATATAATCTTTAAAAAAAATGTCTTTCTCATTGTCCACTGTGTGTGAATGCAGCTCTACCCTGACGATATGTCGCCAGCGGCTGTGGATTTTCGGAGGAATGCAAAGTCCTTGCTTCATTTAGCCGCTCAAACGCTTGCTCACCTCAACATCCCATTCTGGCTCAGCAGCGGCACCTGTCTGGGTAATGTGCTAACACGCTAGCATGCTAACATCACAGCATAATAATAAATGTAATAATAAATGTATCTCGTGTTCTGCAGGATGGTTCAGGCAGTGCAGTGTTATCTCGTACAGTCATGACGTAGATGTTGGGATTTTCATTATTGACTTCAGGTCAGACATTATTGCAGCATTCAGAGATGCCGGGCTGTCGCTCAAACACAAGTTTGGAAAGGTCAAAACTGCATTTTCTTCAGTTTTTCTCCTTTTTATTGAATTGTACATTTTATATTTAAAACTTTGTCTTTACAACTGTTCAATTTCATCAGTATATTAGAACTCTTAATTTAGCTATTCAATTAATTTAAATTCTAAATACTGTGCATATTTTTCATGAAGCAGATGTGTTTTATTTTGAAGTGCAGGTGGAGGACAGCCTGGAGCTGTCTTTTCTCAGTGAGGACATCAAACTGGACATTTTCTTTTTTTATGAAGATGGAGACATTGTTTGGAATGGAGGAACACAGGCAAAGAGTGGCAGGAAGTTTAAGTAAAGATGATTTCCATTTGTTTTTCAAGTTTATTGTGTTTCTTCTGACAGGATTGTCTGTGTAAATCTTTTAACTGGTTCTTTGTGTTTTCCGTCAGGTACGTCTTCCCTCGCTTCTCGCTCTGCTGGACAGAGTTTCTTGAGCTGAAAGTTCGCATTCCGTGTGAAACACTTGATTATGTGATGGCAAACTACGGCACCTCGTGGAGTGTCCCGGTGAGGGCCTGGGACTGGAAGTCGTCACCAAGCAACGTGCAGGAAAACGGGGTGTGGCCTCCATCTGAGTGGGCGGACCTTGTTCAAGTTTACTGAGAGGAAACCGCAAAGACACGATGGAAAATTACATCAGTACTGAAGCGTCTAAGTGAAAAGCTCAAAGGTGAAGTGTTTTTTCTGCAGCCCTTGTCAGCTCTGTTACATAATAAGTTGTGTGTGTGATCAATTTTGTACTGTATAACTTTATTTGAGTTTATATTAAAATTATTAAGTGAAAGACAATTTGAACTGTGTAATAATTTATTAAGTTAGTAGACTGTGTAGGCTGCTACTGTGCATATAACACCCCCCACAGAGGATGTCAGATCTGAGTGGACTTTAGTCATTCTTCTCTAAAGATTCTGCCTCTAAATCAAATAAATCAATCAGAGACTTCATGCTTGTCCTTTTTACTGTAGAAGAAACTTTTCCAATTTTTTAAACTATTGTAAAGAGAAATTCTACCTTATATATCTCTGTGTTGACAAAATCAGTAAATAAGAAGTAGAAGTAACTAGGGGGTAATTGGGGTATTCCACAAAGCAGGTTGGCAAACTCAGAACTTTACTCTGAACTGTATGCTGACCAGCCTGGAGCTAGAAAACTCTGAGCTTCTATTTCCACAACAGCTGGTCAGAGTCTGGTCAGTCAACTTTGAATGTGCTCAGGCTGGGTCATCCCAAGACCTGCTCTGTTCCTGCTCTAAGGACGGAGAAGGCATTATCAGTGATAAATGGGTAAAGCCCAAGTCTGTTATATGAAGAAACAACTTCCTGGTCGACCGAGGATGTTCCAAGTTTCTTATACTGGCTCTGAGGAGTGAGGAAGCTGTTGGAGGAGCCATGAGTGAAGATACATGAGACCATTATGTAGAAGACTTTTACAAACCAACACATGGCAATTGGATGGGTTAGGGTTCAGATGAAGGATCAGAGGAAAGGACATCTTGTGTCCTTAATAATGTTTTTAGATAGATAGATAGATAGAAATACTTTATTAATCCCAATCTGGGAAATTGCATTGTTTCAGCAGCGGTTCAAAATCAATATCAAACACACATACCAATAAATAGAATAAATAACTCACTAAAAATATAAAACAAAATATAAAATACGTTAAAAAGTTAAAAACAAACCCAACACAATCAAATACATATACATAATCACATGATGAATGAAACATATGCAAATATATACAAAGCTGATTCAGTAAACAATTACTCTCAATCCAGGAATCGTCTAATGCTCCAAGATGATGTGTTGTACAAATTAATGGAGTAAGGCAGGAAAGATTTCCTATAACGTGCTTTACGGCAACGAAGCTGTCTAAATCTTTTAGAGAAGGAGCTCCGCTGTCTATC